CCAAGAAACGCAACAACTATGACAAGTCCAAAGAGAACCACATCAAAATGGAAAATACAGGTGACTGCAGAGACAAAAACTGCTTGAAAGAGAAACCACAGTTTGAGAGGCCACACTCTGGCTTTCAAAATGTCTTTGAAGATGGAGACTTCTTCTCAGGAGATTGTTTTTCCACTGGTCATGTGGGTAAGGCCAGGAGATTTCACTCCTCCTTCTTTGATGTCATCCCCATATTGGACACAGGATTTTCCACATTTGTATCCCTGGGCTCCAGACCAAGTCCCCCTTCCTCTGGGACATTTGTACCCTTTGTAAGCAGTGGAATGGGAAACTTCAGACTGGTCACCACTTGTAGCCAGATAGTGAATGGCAAGAGAGTTGTTACAAAGAAAGTTCTAGAAAATGTGAGAGGGAAGACTGAAGTGGAAAAGGACAGCCCATTTCATCAAATTCTTCCACATCATGGGTAAGGAGTCTGTGCTTTGTTCTTTCATAGGGAGACTTTCCTGTAAGGATGGTGAGTCTGATGCTTATCAAAGACAGAATTGGAATCTAAGAGTGTGTTGAACTAGAATGGACAGAAGTCAGCTTAGTCCAAACCTCTTGTTTCACAGAGGAAAGAAATAATGGGCCAGATGATACACAAGAAACTAAGAAGCAGCAGAGTTTGGCTGTCATCCCATCTTCTGTTTCTAATTGAGCCTTCTTTTCCTCTGCACTATATTTGGGACAGCAGAAACCACCCCACAAGTATGGCCTTCTGGGTTAGTTGCAGGGCCCTCCTATCGGAAAGCCCACTGACTTCTCTTTGACTTTTTCATTGCCCCTCCTTGCTATTAACCAGTTTCCTCTTTCTTGACAGCCACTGTTTTTCTCTTCTGAACCTCTTCGTACCTCATCATTCCAATTGGCCATATAACAATCTCAATTGAAAGAGCTATCAAGGTGTATTAGCATTTGTAGGGAGAAAGAGTGAAAAGTAAAAGGGTTAAGATTTTTTTTAATAGAGACTTTTAAAAATAGCTAGCATTTATGGAGTACTTGGTAGATATCAGGCATTCTACTTCACCTGTTATCTCAATAATCCTTTCAGCAGTGAAATACAGTAGCTACTTTTCCTCCATCATATAGATAAGGAAATGAGGCTGAGAGAGATTAATAACTTGCCTAGGCCCCACCTAATAAGCAATAAAATAATGTCTTTCTCTAAAACACATGCTTCTCTACTGAGCTATAATATCTAAGGATCCCACTCATTTATTTTTACATCTTGGGTCTTGCTCTCATTGGAAATTTACACATACCATTTCTAAACCTTACTTCCATGCATGAGTACTTGCTGGAACTTATTAAGTAGGCAAAGATTTTTTGCATAAATATTCTTGTCCAACAGGTACTTGGTTACTCTTACATGAAGATAGAAACTGAAACTGACAAATGATTATCCCTAACACAGGGAGGTAAACAGGATCCCAAGATGGTGAACTATCTTTTTGTTTTGACTTTAATCATAACGTACATGCTAAATCATGGGATTTTTTAATATTTATTTAACTGGATCTGGTCACCCTCCAACCCCTTCATTTATGCTAATAAACAGACTGGGGTACAGAGGAGTGGTTACTTGTGGAAAATTACTGATGGAGTCTGCATCAGAAACTCTGTCTTCCATTTCCCAGTCTCATGCTCATTCTAGTACACCATGCTGACTGGCAAAATTTGGATTTCATTTGCATCTCAATCTTTTATAGAAGTTATGTAACAAATGATTCGCTTCCTTAATCAAGGAACTTTTCTGTGTTTGCAGTTTTTATGAGACAAATTTTTGATGTAGTCTTGAGCTTTTTTAATCTCACCGAATTTTCTGAACTTGAACAGGAATACGCCTACATCCCTCTGGCAAAGGGTAGCATTCAGGCAGGGAGCACACTTCCAGAAAGGAAGCAGTAGATGGATTTGGAATTGGAACACATCCTGTTCTTGCTGCTTACTAGTCATTGAGAACCTCCTGTCTGTCAGGCACTGTACTAGGTGCCTTACGTGAATGAATCATTTCTAATCTGTAGAATCCTTCAGGGGTTTATTTTCATTTTGCAAGTGAGGAAACTGAGGCTCAGGAAATTCAGGTCCTTTGTGCAGGCTCACACAATAAGTTGTGGAGAGACAAGGTTCAGACTGCAGTTTGTTTGACCTGGAAGCTCACATTTCCATCATGTTGTGTTCTACTGCCATTCATCTGAGCTGCTGTAGTCATGACCAAAGAGGAATGTTTTGTTGTATGTATGAGTTATATTCATTTCCAGTTTTTAAAATGAGGATTTCCAGATGGAGCTTTCTTTTACCAGCCCTAGTGTGAGGTGAACTGCAGTATGGCTACTGAACAAAGGGAAAATCAAATTGGAGCATGAAACTTGATTTTCCATTTTGTCTTAAATAAAATCCAAATTTCAGCATTTTTCACAGACAACTTGGCTTTTGACAGAAATGCTGAGTTGTAGAAGGGCTTTTTTTGCCAGCAAAGATTAAAAAAAAAAAATTCGGTTAGTCAAGGAAGTTTTCTTGTTGTGTAGAAATGAAAGCAGTGTCATCTCTTCCTGATGCCCATTTAAAATATGTAGGAAGTTAAGTATGAGCAAACAATAACAAAGGAAAGAAGGAGAGCAGGAAGGGCTTTGCTGTTTTTTTAAAGCGTTATAAGTGAGTACATCTTCATCTCAGTCAATCTAAGATAGATGGGAGCTTTGAAGGAACCTGTGATTCAGATTCCTGTGACCTCATAGTGCCTTCAGAACTGCTAGAGTGGTTTCCGCATGTCATAAGCTCCTTTGCCAATTCTCATCCTTACAGCTTTTACTGATGGGCAATCTTTGCGCTTACTAGCTGCGGAAGGAGAAGAAAATATTTTAGATTTGGAAAGTCAAATCCTTTGTCCTTAAATAATTTTCCAGTCTGCCCTGTCAACTAACTGCTTTTTTATGCACCATGTTTTTGAATAGTTGTCTCTCACAAATTAATGTGAGACTTTTTTTTTCTAGTTGTCAGCAAAATAAAGGTTTCCAGAGTTCAAAAACACCAAAAAGCAGTTAGAAGTAATTCCTTGCCCTTCTGCTCTGGTTCATGGTAGGTGGTTGACAAATGACATGAGGACCATAGGCCTGTTGAGGAACAATAAGTGATTATATAACTCATAGCTCAGGAAGCATTTGTGAAAGTAGTATCTCATGGAATCCCATCAGAAACCCCAAATGCCCACATTACCAACTGAGGAAACAGAGGAGGAAGGGATTTACCCAAAGTCACAAAGTGGGTATTTCTTTCTTTCTCTCTCTTTCTCTTTCTCTTTCTTTCTTTTCTTTTTTTTTTTCTTTTTTCTTTTCTTTTCTTTTCTTTTCTTTCTTTCTTTTTCTTTCTTTTCCTTTTCCAGTGATCCTTTTCCCTTCCTTCCTTCCTTCCTTCCTTCCTTCCTTCCTTCCTTCCTTCCTTCCTTCCTTCC